GGCAAAACACCTGCAAAGTACACACACACAAAAAAAAACAAATTAATTAAATATCTTTGAAAGTTTATTTTATTATTTTATGTCTGCGAGAGTTTGTACATCATACATATGTACGCCTGGTGCCCTTGGAGGTCAGAAGAGGTGTGAGCTACCATATGGTTTCAGGGAATCTAACCTGGGTCCTCTACAAGAGCAACAGCTCTTAACCACTGAGCCACCTCTTCAGATTACGTCTCGACAATGTTCTTTATAGACGGAACTTTCATGGTCTCACTTAACTCTTTGATAGTCAAGACAGCATATTTTATTTAATTTCCCACACTCATGCTTGTGCAGGAAGCATTTTACCCACAAAGACATCTCTCCTGCCCCAATTTTACCCTCAAGACAGGAACTTCATGTGTGTGTGTGTGTGTGCGTGTAGCCCAGATTGGCCTCACACTCCAAATCCTTTTGCCTCAACCTCTGGGTTCTGAGACGGCTTTGCATGTGCTACCACACCCTTTGTACATGAGCGATCCTAACAGAAAAACAGAGCTCCACTCTGCTCTCAAGTCCGCATCTTACTTTGTAATGGATGGCCTGCTCAGTTGTGGAGCGTATCCTGCTCCGGCTCAAATGGTCCACACCCAGCTGCTTCCTGAGGCTACAACATGAGGAACTGTTGTCCCCAAGCCTTTCCCTCCCTCTTGCTGGTACCCATTTGTGGATGTCCAAGCAAAACTTATCAGTTGTCAGGGGGAGGCCAGTCCCAGATGGGCAGAAAGAAGTAGGGGGAGGGGAAAACTTACATACTTCAAATCCAATACAGGATTGTCCACCTGGGTCCAAATAGAGTCAGATGAAGGTGGGGTAGAACAGCTAAGAAAGAAAGTGGAGACCTTCCTACAGGGTACGGGAAGGCCATGTGGGGTTTCACAGGATAGCCAAGTGAAGGGACCCCAGAAGTTAACCTCCAAGGAGCTTCATATGGGTTCTGCCAGGCCGGCACAGACCAGGAGCCTGAGGGTCAGAGGGACCATGCTCCTCTGTGCCCTCAGCTGTGTCTCCGTCTCCCCGTGACCCTGGAATCACTGCCTGGGGTCCTGGTGGCTCTAGTTCTGAGTTCCAGAAACTCTGTTCTTGTCTAGTTCTGTGGAAGAGAGGTTTCTATTGCTACCAAGGAGAAGGCCTGGTCAGCAGTTGGCTTTTCCTATTAGACTACACACATCCAACAGTTTCACACACCCACAGTCCAACGTTCGCATGTGTGTGTGAACACGCACACAAATAAACACCCCAATTTACCCAACACCCACACCCCTGACACCTACCCAAGCTATACACATCACACATAAATACAGACACACCACAATATCTAATGCCTACCCCAACATCCCCCTCCACCACACACATCACATGTAAACATACCAACAGTCAACACACAAGCACCCACTGTTCCACCCTCATATCTCCTACACCCACACATCCACATGAGCACTGACAAACACCCAAAAACCATGCATACCCACAGCCCAATACTCACAGAGACCTCCATACAACAAACGTACACCATATACCCAACATGCAGGCACACTCATATGCAAATACCTACTCGAAGCACACAAACACACCAGTATCTCCAAGACCCATGGATAGCACCTACCCAACATTCCCGATACCCACCCAACACTCATAACTCAGTCAGTACCCACACTATACAAACATACCAAACACCTATCACACTCAATGCTCCTACCCCCACCACACACCCAACAATCACACACAACATAAACATAGCACACCCAACACTCACCCAATACCCACACCCATCCATAGCACCAAATTCCTTACCTCTCTCTCTCTCTCACACACACACACACACACACACATACACACACACACACACATCCTACCCATACACAACACCCACTCATCACCAATGAGCAAATACCGTAACACTTGTACAAACACCAGCAGCACACAGGTGTGTGTGTGTGTGTGTGTGTGTGTGTGTGTGTGTCTGGGGTAGGCTGAGGTTTAACTTCTACCACCTGCCCACTCTCTGGGTGCTGCACAGTGGGATAGTTGGGCAGCTGCCAGACTAATCTGTTCTTTTGTTTTTATTTTCTCCAGAGGATTTGGGAAGGAAAAGTCCTGGGGAAAGCATAGAATGAAGGAATGGGTTGGCCCCAAACTCATGGTCTTGGGTCCAGGCTATGTTCTGTGGGGCTTCTGCCTCTATAAGCTGTAAGTACCCTTTTCTAGTCTGGGCCAGGGAAGGCTGCGTCATACTGTACTTTCAGGGCCTGGAGGGAAAGTGCCCCAGGTGTGGAGTAACAGGTTTCAATAGTGTGTCACTAGATCCCCTGGACAGGGATCACTCAGAGAACATGGACAGGAGCTAGGCAGCTGGGGACCCCAGGAAGGAGAGCTGTGGTAGAGACAGAATGTCCCAGCGACTTGGCCTTCTTCACCTGACCTAGCTTGTCCTGGCTTCAGTCCATCATGGGGTAGCAACTGGCGCAGGGTGGTTCGTGTAGGCTTGGCCAGGCCAGGCATCGTGACAAGGCTGTAATTGTAGGATCATGAAGAATCTCCATGGGCGGCAGATGTGGTGTCTGTTTGGCTCTGCAGAACCTGGGAGATTCCTCGCTCCTGACTGGAGAGGCTTAACCTTCCACCCACCCTCCCTGGGGAAGTTGATAGGGGAAACCATCAGAAAACTCTCCCTGTTTCTAAGATCATTTTGGAGACAGAGGAGGAGCCTGGCTCCTACCCTGTCTGGGAGACTGGGTGCTTGCTCAAGATTTGTAATAGATCCTTAACATCCCCATGGTTCCTAGGGGCAAGGATCTTGGGAAAGTCCATGTCCCCAAGGGTTCCCGCCACTGAGTCTCCTCAGAGCACATTCCAGGGCCTGATGGGACCTGAAGTTGTAGACTGGAATGGAAGGGGGTGAGATGGGTAGGGTGCCTGGAGGGACATGGTGGACTGTGGAGGTCAGGACCGGGTCTGGCTGGATCACTCGTCAGTGCTAGGAAACTGTCCCCTCACCAGGGACAGCTACATCTCCCCAGGTACTTTCCATTCAGAAAAGGGCACCCTGAGCTGGTACAGGCCCATGGCAGGCAGACCTGGGTCTGGAGAGAGCTCCCATATCATTGCTAGGACAGTAGAGGCTGTGCTGTGAGAATTTTGCTCTTGGACTCTAGGTCCTGAATGCTCCTAGGTTCACCCAGAAAATGGACTATTGGGTCCTCTAGAACAACTAGGTCTCGATCTGCACTATGGACAGTGCAGCTCCTGGCCTTTGGGAGGCAGGAGGAGGCAGAGAGACTCTGGATGTACTGGCTTGGTTTCTGTTTCCTTCTTGGCAGCTCTGAGTTATTTGGTCTGGATGAAGGGTGAGAGGTGGCAAGCCCAAGTCCTGCCACACTGACCTGTGAGCTCAAGGAGAGTATATGGCTAGCTTCCACATCAGTATGCCACATCTGCCGGGTGGCATACACTACCACTGCACCTGTAACATATCCAGTGGCGGAGGCTGCAAGTTTGCCTCCCCTACCTCCTGGAAGTTAGCTACCTATCACAGGTTGTTGTCCCTGAAGGCTGAGGCCCCATAGGCCACTTGTTGGAGGCCATGGGATTCTTACCATGAAAGCTTATGGTTTCCCTAGCGTCTTTGGAGTAATAGTCACGCCTTAGGCAGGAGTGGATGGAGATCAGACCCTGAATGACTCTTTTCATGGAGGGTCCCTTGGAGACGGGTGCTGAACACCCAATAGAGCAGTTGGTCCTACTAGACTGGATATCTCAGGATGGTGGACTATGGGGCCAAAACTAATGCCATTGTGGTCCCCCTTACCATGACCAAAAGAGTGGAAAGCTGTGACATTTTGGACTTGGGGCTCACCCTTTTCTATTCTGGATGTGTTGAGATCTTCGTCTAAAGTTTAGTTGCTTCTCTAGACTTCCAAGCCTCAGGGGATCTGGGGCCGTTAGTTTAGGATCCTCATTAGAAGTGAGATGGAGTGCTTCTTGAACTCAGGCTGGGTGCCCAAGGATAAGTGATCTGGGCCCTGTCCATCAAAGGTTCTGCTCCCTGGTGCCTTCTCAAACCTAGCACCCGAAGCACCAGGGGAAACGGGGCGGGGGGGGGCTGAAGATGCACACCATCACCCTCACCCCATCACCCCGGGAGCACTGGGAAGACCCGCTCAGAAGAGAGGCTCAGCTTTCTCCCAACTCTGATCCTTGCCAGGCAGTCAGTCAGTCAGCGTTTGTGGAGTAGGGTGGAAAGTTGCGGTCAGGTTCTCACCTCCGGAATTGGGGGCTGGGAGACGAAGGGTGACAGGGCAGGACTGTGGAGTCAGTGCCTGCTTCTGGCTTTGCAAAGCCCCGACCACAGGGGAAAGCGGAAGTTTGGGTTGGTTGACAGTCTTGCCCAAGATCCCCAGAGACTAAGGTGGTCGGGTCCTGCTTCTCAACCAGGGGAGACAGCCGCCACGGCCACGCAGTAACCCAGGCTTAGGCACCGGCAGGATGAGGAGGTTTGGAGGGGGCGAAGGTTCGAAAGAGGCCTGAAGACCTGGAGTTGAGGCAGGTGGCGGGAGCCCATGGTGAATGGGGTGCAGTGGCGGCGTGTGCCATCCGGCAGAAGGCACGGGTCAGGGCATGGAGGGCAAAAAGGCCCCGGTCTCGGAGGTAGCGAGGGCGCTGCCGCTCTCTTGCCGGAATCACAGAAGGACCCCACAGCATTGGGAAGGAATAAATGGAGAGGCAGAAAGGGGCGCCGAGGGGAGACGAGGCGATCAGCTTATGTCTGAGGGCGCGGAAGAGAAGGTCCGCGGTGTGTACGGTCCGCGCCCTGGGCTCCTGTAGAACGGGTTCGGGCCGGGGCTCCCTGGTAAATGGAGAAGGGCAGTGACCGCGCCGTCGGGGCGCAGCGGCTGGGGCGCCCCCTCCGGCAGCGCAGCGGCGTGGGGTCCGGGCGGGGAGGGCAGGGGCGGCGCCAGGCAGCGGTGACGTGCGTGGGGGACGTGCCGCGCAAGGGATGAGAGCTCTTAAAATCGCCCCCGGCGCGGCGCCGAGCCGAGCAGCGGAGGAGGGCAGAGGCGGACTCAGCGGCTGACGGTAGCGGTGGCAGGTAGGCGCGGTGGGATGCTTGGCGCGCGGAGCGAGGCAGGGACCCACCAGGCGCCCGGGGGTTGGGTCCTCGTTCATCAGGTGCCGGATGTGGGCCTGGAGCTCCCGGCTCCCGACTCCTGGTCCTCTCCCCTCCTTATTCTCCAGCCCCGGATCTCTCCTGACTTGGAGAACCTTGTCCCCACTGCAGCTCCACCAAATGGCCCGGAGCAGTCAGTCGCGCGCTCTCATCCTGCCTCCCTGCCTTCGCAGAAGCCTATCCGTCCGGCAGCCCTCAGGGGCTGGGCTGCTTCGTCCAGGAGGCAGCTGCCCCGGACGACCAAACGTCCAGGGTATAAATAGCTCGGCCCAGGAGGGTTGGAGGGTGGCCGGGCGGCTGGAGAGCCTGGGCTGTGTTTGTTGGGAATGCTATAGACTTCTTGGAACCCTGAACCTCCAGCGGGCATCAGTAGGCCGCCCAGTGAGAAAGGAGCACGTGCGCTTCGGATTGGTTGGGGGAGGAATGCCCTCGGGTCTCTTCCTCCCGCCTCCTCTTTACATCTTACTACCACCTAACCTAACCCATCACTACTAGCCCTAACTAGGCACATGAAAGTGTGGTTTCCCTCCATAATGGGCTAGGGTTGCTCTATCCTCATTCCGTGGTAAAACCAGGTGCACAGCCTCGGTTTTCTTACCTGAAAAGCCGGTTGCCTGCTGCTACTGACGGTGTTTGGAATCCAGAGCCTGCTCTTTGTCCCACGCACAGGGCTGCAGGTCCAGGCCGGCGGGAACACTTTCTGTGATGATCCCAGTCAGGACAACAGGGTGATTTGAGAGACTGTAAATGGCAAGGCTCCCTCCCCCATACAACACAGGGTGCAGTAGCTTGACCAATGCTGGGGTGAGGTGGGGGGGTGGATTCTGTTGGGGGGAGGCGGCCATCTCCCAGGGCTCTCAGCTTCATTCCACAGGCCCAAAAGTTGGCTGGTGTCCAGTGGGTGCCGGGTCTGTCTGTGCTGAGAAGTGTGGGGACTCCCTCAGGATGGGTCGTGAGTGACTAATGCACAGCTAGGATGGTGTGTAAAATGATGGGTCTACCCCTCAAGGGGTACTGGGGACTCTATTAGATACGGGAGGAGCCTTCTTGACCAGGACTTTGGTGTCGACAAAGCCTTGAACCATTGGTTTGGTTCCAAGACGGACTTGCCAACACCACCAGTGACCTTGGGCCAGGGCCTGCTTCCCATTATAAACGATCTAATACTCACTGCCTGGGAGTCTACATTTGGAGGGGCAGCAAGGAGACAGCGTTGTTGACTTTAGAGTGGTACGGAAGGGGCCAGTTTGTGGAACTCCACCGCATGCCCGCGTGCCGGGGTTTCTGACTCTAGAACCAGGTCTGCAGTGAACTAACTAACTGGCCAGGGAGGGGATGGTGTTGCTGGTGAGGGGCCAAATTTAGGGGGCACCTTGGGGCTCCAAGCCGGACCTTCTGGGTGGTGGTGCTAAGCAATTGGAGACGCCTCTGGACCAGGCCTTGGTCCACCTGGCACTGGTCACTGGCATAGTGGAGGGGCAGGAATGGAGACCGCCCTAGTGGTGCGAGTAGGCCTCTGGCCTCAGTTTCCACCAGTGGAATGAGGAGCGGATGCACTTGGGAGTTAGCTGCGAGACCCGCAGTTTATCGGTCAGGATCCCAGAGGCTCGGCCGCGCGCCTGGGCTCGCTTCTGCTAAAGGCAAAGGGAAATGGCCCGCCTCCAAAAAGAATCTGCGGGTGAGTCGTGGGGCGCCTTAGGGCATGTGGCGCCGCGCTCTGCAAGTACGGTAGAAACGGAGGAGGACTGCCTACTCCAGGCAATACGGCGGCGGCTCCTCCCTTGGTGTGGTCACGTCCCCCACGTCCCGAGGCCGCCTGGGCGGAGCTTCCTTCCCGACCCTAGTCCGAACCACTGAGCCCCGCCCAGGTCTGCTGGACCTTTGCCTCCAGTCCACAGATGGGAAGTGAGGCTGGTCCGCTCGGTTGCCTTCCTCTAACCCAAGCCCCACCCTAACCCATGCTTCTGCCATCTCCAGACCTACCTCCTTGCCAGACAGTGATGGGAGTTGGGAAGCGTTTATGATTTCCGAGTCTCCCTTTAGCCTTAGATCCTGGCTTTAGGAAGGAAGACTGCTCGGGAATCCATAGTCTTGCGGAGGCGTGGGCCCACCAGGCCTAGGTGGAACTTTGTTAGAAAGTGGCTCAGAGAGGGTCCCACCCACCAACCCTAACCTTGCGGCGGGCAGCAAGATGGGGCAGGTTCTTAGGGCTGTCCCATTTTTATGACAGCCAAGCGTTGAAGGTTCCTCACAAGATGTGGGACTCTGAGCCCATCTGTTCTACCTAGGATGGCCCTGCAGAGATCTCAGGCCTGAGGTGGGGTGGTGGTTGGCTCTGGGCAACAATGTCTATTCTGGCAAACAAGACCCGTATTTCTACACTACTGGTCCCTGAAAAGTTGATGTGAGCGGACAGGACAACTTGCAGCGGTGCCAGGCATGCCCCGGAGGCTGGGCAGGCCAGTCGAGATGGGGTGGAGAGCCAGGCAAGCCCGTGGCCCAACCTCGGCTGCACCATAGGTGCCTCTCCAGAAAAGGCCCCTAGGGGCTTTTCTTTGGCATACCTTTACACGCTGGTGGGCTCAGGGTTGCTGGCCCAGAGAGAAGAGGCACACGAAGGGAGGGAGGGAACTTGGAAAGAGGCCTTTGAAGCAACCTCTTACCCTGCCTCCTCCGTACTGGCTGCTTACTTGCTTCTTGGGGATCTGAAATCTAACTCAAGGAAGGTGGTTGCCGTAGTTCCTGCTGCCTAGTTAAGGCCACAAAGGCAGGGCTGAGGCTGGTCCCTCCTGATGACGGGCACTTAAGGGGCACCTGAGCAGACCACAGAACTTAGGGCTTGGACCACTGGGCACCTGGTCTGCTTCCCTTGGATGCAAAGGGATGTATGTTACAAGGGACTTCCATGAGCCCCCTGCCACAGGCCACATCCAGTGGCGTTAGCTCTAGGGACTAGCTTTTGGGAGCACCCTGGAGGCTTTCCTGACCCAGCCCCCACCCCCAGATCAGGTTTCTGTGACCTGGAGGCTGAGTTATTTCTGGGCTGCTTTGCATGCTTCCCAGCGAGGGTAAATGTCACCGAAAGGCCAGGCGGCTAGGGTGTGCCTGTGGATGGATTTAGACAGGGAAGCCCTAGGGTTAGAGCCATGGCCTGCATTTTGGCCCATCCATGCTGTCTTCCCGTGGCTCTCATTCCCAAGGCAGGCTGGGAATCCTAGCCTTTCACTCTATTGGAATGTATTGAGGCCTAGGTGACAAAAGGTGGGCTAAACAAGGGGCCTAAACTCCACCCTGGTTGGGAAATTCGATCTCTCCGATAAGTCTCCCTCTGCAGAGTCTCTGGTGACAGCCTGGGGTGGGCACTGGTGAGGCTTCATTAGGGTTGTTAGCTCCAGGCTGTGCAAGGACATTGCTGGTGCTGGGCCTTGGCGGGGAACTTCCCGTCTTGATGCTATCATCTCCTGGGCACTGAAGGTGGCCCTCCCTGTATGATTAGCCTTACGCTGCAGCCATGGGCCTGAAAAGTTCCAGAACATGTATCCTTCTGACCTCGCTTGCTCTCCAAGACCCCAGTTGAGAGAAAGCCTCATCTACAGCAGGCAATTATGTCCCCATTTCTTACCTCCTTGGACTCTGAGAGCTCCAGCAAGCTTGTTTATAATAAACAAGCAACGGTACGGAACCTTCAGGAGACTTGAGTAACTATTAGTAACCTTAACAAGCGCTGGACATACCTGATATAGCCCGGGAGCGCTAATCCTCTGTGGGGACCTCAGGTGTCCAGAGTTGGGTTAATGCTCACTGTGGGTTCTAGGCATGTTCTCCTCTTTGCTTTGCATTGAAACTGGATTTTATTTATTTAATTTTTACATTTTATTTAATGAACATGGGTGTGGGGGCACACTGTGTGTGTGTGTGTGTGGCCTGTGGGAGTCAGTCAGTTCTCTTCGTCCATCGTGTAGGTCACGGGGACTGAACGCAGGTTGTCAGCCTCAGTGGCAGGTGCCTTTACCCACTGAGCCACCTTGCCCACCCTGGATTTATTTTAAAGAGTGCGGCAGAAGGGTTGGGCGTGGTGATGCATGCCAGTGATCCCAGCACTCAGGAATTAGAGCAGGGGAGTTTGAGTTCCAGGCCAACCTCCCAGCCTCCCAGCTAGGGCTACAAGGTGAGATGTTATGTGAACACACATAGACCAAAAAAAAAAAAGGTATCAAACTTCTGTAAAGCCACAATGTGAACAGGCAGGAACTCCATGTGGCCTAGCCCTCCCTTGACCACACCTTAAATCCTGGGTCTTGGGTCATCCTTGGGTTTTCTGTCTTTTGGTTTCATATCTAGATGGTATATCCCTAAAGTGCACTCCCCCACTCCCAGTTTATAGTTCCCCTTTTAAAATAATCAAGGGCCTTTTAAACTCTAGCTAATGGATAAGAGGTGCCTGGCACTTGGGGTCCCACTGAGCATGCCCTGGCTGTGGCGTATGATACTTCTCCTTTGGGTTTGAGTGGGGAGGGTCTCAGGCTGGGCCACAGCCAAGATGGTCAGAAGCAGGGTGAAGCCTTCTCTGGTTGGTGTGCAATCCTAGCAGAGCTGTATGAACCTCAGGGAAACCTGGGTAGCATCACGCATGGCTCGTGCTTCTTAGAACACAGCCTAGTTTAGCATGTCTGTGCCCCAACCACAGGACTCTGTTCTCAGGAAGAAGCCAGCAAAGGCTGGAATCTCAGCCTTTCCAGAGTGAGCCAGGCAAGGTGGGAAGCTCTCCTGGTCAGGGGTTTCCATTTCAGTGCCAGCCGCCCTTATACATCATGGCTTGATTTTCTCCCCAGAGTACTGCTTGGCAGCACAGCATTTGTGGAGAGTGAACTGAATACTCAGGTCAAAGGCTGCCCCCTGCTGCACCTTGATTCTTGGTGAGATGGGGGATGAGGCTGAACAACCTCTGGGATTTGGAATACTGACTGTGGGGTCAAGCACCAAACAGAACCAGAACCTGGCCGTAGTTTTCAGACCTGCTCTGTCTCACATCAATTAAGCCCCCGAAATTCATGAAAAGGGGAGTTAGCAGTGGGTGGGTGTGGGGTTTGGGATACTCTCTGCTTACTTTAGCAGTTAGGGGACAGAAGATTGGCCCCTGTTCCCATAGATTGGTTATAAACTGCTGCCAAGGCAATTTTTTTTTCCCCCTGTAACCCCCAGACCTTCCTGTAATCCATCAGGGTCTTCATCCTCTCCCAAAAGCCACTGCCAAGGATGGTTCGCGGCAGAGTTATAACTACTAAGTTATACCCAGAGGAAGTGGGAAGCCCCCTTCAGATACCATAGCCTGTGTTTCTTCAACTGCCTCTGATCCAGACCCATGTCCTCCCAGACGGCCAGAACCTGGCAAGGAGTGCAGCGTAGCTCCTCGGGGGCAGGAGAGCGGGGCAAGGCTGACTTCACTTAGATTTAGAGCTGGGCAGGGTGTTGGACACCCACCCCAGACATTTTTTTTTGGGGGGGGTGGGCAACTCAAGAGTGTGCTCCAACGGGACGGGAAGTGTAGGTTACTGCCGGGATTAGGTTGTATGGCACAGCCTCTGCCCAGCACAAGTTCAGAAAACACCAGCCAGGCCAATTTCTTGGGTCTGCTTTTTGCAGAAGGTCATGCGAATCCTGGTCAAAACGTAAAAAGTCATTGCACTTTATACCCACCTGTGTGGGAACAGACAGCTCCCCAAAGCACCAGTTAAGGGTAGCCAGCGACAGCAGGCCGCCCATGGCTGAGCTGCCGTAGGAGTGGCCAGGTGCCAATTCCAGGACTCTGCAGGTGTCCAGCCCGTGCGTTTCGGTCCCCACCCTCCTCTGCTGGGCTGCGGCTGAGATGATCGCCCTGGCAACCTGAGTCAGCTGTTTCTTTTCTTTCAGGACAAGGTGAAACCAGCCCTCCTGGCTATGGGAGGAGCTGTGGTGGACGAGGGTCCCACTGGCATCAAGGCCCCCGATGGGGGCTGGGGCTGGGCTGTCCTCTTTGGCTGTTTCATCATCACAGGGTTCTCCTATGCCTTCCCCAAAGCCGTCAGCGTTTTTTTCAAGGAGCTCATGCATGAGTTTGGGATTGGCTACAGTGACACGGCCTGGATCTCCTCCATCCTGCTGGCCATGCTCTATGGCACAGGTGAGGTGGGGCTCACGGGTGTCCAAGGGAGCATAGAGGAATGGGGTGAATCCTCAAGTGGGTGATCTTGCCAGAAAGCTATGGTTCTCTGAAGGGCAAAGTGTCTTGGTCCCTGTCTGAGTGGGTAGGTTGTGTTGACACACCCAGTGGTCAGGCTCCTCAAGCAGTGCCTTCAGAGAGGGTGCTTCCTGTTGACCTACTTAGGTCATGTCAAGAGCTGGGCTCTGCCCAGTGCCCACAAGTCACCTTGCACTAAGAACCTCCCCCCCCCCCCCGGCCTATTGTTGGTGGCTCACGCCTTTAATCCCAGAGGCAAGCGGATGGATCTCTGTGAGTTCGAGGCCAGCCTGGTCTTAAGAGTTCCAGGACAGGCTGCAAAGCAATATAGAGAAACTCTGTCTCGAAAAACAAACAAACAAAAACAAAAAAGAAAGGAAAGAAGAACCTGGCCCCCAGTGTCCAGTACACCTGACAAATTGAGGCTCTTACATATTCTGGTGGGCAGGAGGGAGAAGGCAGAGCCAAGCTGGAGGCCTGGCACGCTGCCCTCCTTCAGTTACCTTCTCTGCACAGGCCCGCTCTGCAGTGTGTGTGTGAACCGCTTTGGCTGCCGGCCTGTCATGCTTGTGGGTGGCCTCTTTGCCTCCCTGGGAATGGTGGCCGCTTCCTTCTGCAGAAGCATTATCCAGATCTACCTCACCACAGGAGTCATCACTGGTGAGTCGGGGGCCGGGGAAGGGGGTTGCGGAGGGGGGAGAAATGGGACCAGCAGCAGACATGCTGCTCCTGTCTTCTGGTCTGAGTTTGGGGAGGGGGGGTAAAGTTGAGTACTGCTGGGCTTCTTGGCTGTACCCTTCCTTCCCTCTGTAACTGTCTGCTGGGATGCGTGGCTGTGCACCCTTGAGACCCATTAGATGCTCATCGCCATTTGCAATGGAGCCAGGGAAGCTGGGACATGGATGAAGGTCTGGGGAGATACAGGGGTCTAAGCTGCCTTGCTTGGCAGTCTGAGTCATGGGGGTCGAACACTGCCTTCCCTGCAAGTCTTGGCCCCGGGGTTTCATGCTGACTTCTTTGCGGGCTTGGTTTCAGTGTCTCACATGCCCTTCTTGGCGGTCTGGTTCCTCACACTACCATCTTGTCCTTGGGAGGTCTTGGGTGAGGGAGTCTCACGCTGCCCCTTTTAGAGGTCTGGTATAAAGTCTCACACTACACTCTTTGCAGGCTTGGGTCACAGGGTCACACACTGTCCTCTCTTACAAGTCTGGTTGGGCGGGGGGGTCCTTACCCTGTCCTCTCTTACAGGCTTGGGTCTGGCTCTCAACTTCCAGCCCTCCCTTATCATGCTCAACCGGTACTTCAACAAACGGCGCCCTATAGCCAACGGGCTGGCGGCAGCAGGCAGTCCAGTGTTCCTGTGTGCTCTGTCTCCATTGGGGCAGCTGCTGCAGGACCACTACGGCTGGAGAGGTGGCTTCCTCATCCTGGGAGGCCTGCTGCTCAACTGCTGTGTCTGTGCTGCGCTCATGAGGCCGCTGGTGGCACCCCAGGCGAGCGGAGGGAGTGGGACCCACGCACCCCAGCGGCCATCAAAGCACCTTTTGGACTTGAGTGTCTTCCGAGACCGTGGCTTCCTCATCTACGCAGTGGCTGCCTCCATCATGGTGCTGGGGCTCTTTGTGCCTCCAGTGTTTGTGGTGAGCTACGCTAAGGACCTGGGTGTGCCTGACACAAAGGCAGCCTTCCTTCTCACCATCCTGGGCTTCATTGACATCTTTGCCAGGCCCACGGCTGGTTTCATAACGGGGCTCAAGAAGGTGCGGCCCTACTCTGTCTACCTCTTCAGCTTTGCCATGTTCTTCAACGGCTTCACCGACCTGACAGGCTCCACAGCCACTGACTATGGTGGCCTGGTGGTCTTTTGCATCTTCTTTGGCATCTCATACGGCATGGTGGGGGCTCTGCAGTTTGAGGTGCTCATGGCTATTGTGGGCACTCAGAAGTTCTCCAGTGCCATCGGTCTCGTGTTGCTGCTGGAAGCTGTGGCCGTGCTCATCGGACCCCCATCAGGAGGTGAGTGTGGCTGGCGGGGGGAGGGGGCACAGGGACAGGGCAAGGCCTGACCGCTCTGAGGAGGGGCTACCTACCCCCACCCCCTTCCTTTCATACCCTGCTTTAGGAGACTGGAAATGGTAGGATCTGGGGCCAGCAGGTGTCAGCAGTAAATGTTGGCTCTGAGCCAAGAGACAAACTTGTTATCGCTACACACAGGGTCTGGCAGCTTCTTCAGAAGTCTGTACACCACAGGGGCAGCTTTCAAGGGGACGGGGCAGGATTTGTTCCTTTGGTCCTCTCATTTTCTGAAGGCCAGCCAAAAAACACTCCATGGAAATTGAGAATGGTTTTGGCTGGAGAGGGCAGCCTCCCCATCCTGGGCCTGGGTCTCTTACTCCACAGCCCTTTCTGGTCCCCTTAAAGCCTCTGGCTGCTCCTTTCTCCAAGAATGGTCTTGGTCCTCGGTTACTAGGTATATAGGGCCTTACTAAGCCATGCCTCTTTCTAGGGGTGGGTGACTGGGAAGGGGTTGGTGTAGACTCCAGGACTGCAAACCTTCAAGGCCACTTCTAACCCTTTTGATTCAGCCTTTGCACTCATGGGGAGGAGGAAGAGGAAGGAAGAGGCTGGACAGGGCTGGGCAGATGCTGCTGGGGATGGAGTTCCAGTCAGACAGGGTGACTGTGTGTGTGTGTGTGAGGCATTTCCTCAATGCCAGGAGATGGATTTTCTAGTGACCTGGGTCCTTCTTTGCAGGCAAGCTTCTGGATGCAACCAAAGTTTACAAGTACGTGTTCATCCTGGCGGGGGCCGAGGTGCTCACCTCCTCCCTTGTGCTGCTGCTGGGCAACTTCTTCTGCATCAAGAAGAAGAAGGCCGAGGTGACACAGCCACAGCCCGAGGAGGCGGCTTCAGGAGGGGAGAAGCTCCACAAGCCCCCTGTGGATGTGAGGGTGGACTCGCAGGAGGTGGAACACTTCCTGAAGGAACAGCCTGAGAAAAATGGGGAGGTGGTTCACACCCCAGAAACCAGCGTGTGAGCAGCCTCGCCGAGCGGGCAGGGAGCAGGGAACAGGTCCAGAGACTGGCAACGCTCATATTTATTTCACAAAGAGGACCAGCTGAGGCGGGGCCATCGATCGGCTCAGCTCTGGCTGCCTGGTCAGCGGGTCAGTGTTTTGCGGGGAGAGGTGGCGGGGTGGGAACCGTGTCATTCCAAAGTGGATCTGCGGTGAAGCCAAGGAAGCCCCACAGTTACCAGCCGCCTATAGCGGGGACCCAGCCTGCTGAGCCCAAGCAGCCTGTGCCTCCCCTGCCCCCCCCAACTGTGGCCAAGGACCTAGAAACCCACACTTAGGAGACAACACGACTTTAATCAGAGGGCAGGGCTGGGGCAGGCTGGCAGGTGGGTGCTGCCTGCAGGGTCCTCCCTGACCCCACCATCCTACCCCCTTCTCCAGCTCCAGTTCCCTACATTGCCAATCACCCCCCTCTGTCTGGGGGACGAAAACGCTCCTTCCACCTGAGAAGGTAGGAGGAGGAGCACCAGAGGCTTGCCTCCAGGAGCTGCCTGGTTCTGGGCAGTGGTCTTCACCCTGAGTCCCACCCTTGTTAAATAACAAACGGCTGATTCTTAAGAAGCAAGCGGCTCTTCATCTTCATTAGCTCTCCCAGTTCTGCCTGCTGTGACCTCCTCTGCTGCCCCTAGGGTTTATGCAGCAGCCACAGCATTCATAGGCATAGAGAGGGGGTGCCCGGGTGGCACTTGGAGGCCATGGGGAACCCGTAGGGGTGATGAGACTGAGCTGAGATACAGCATAAGCTCTGTTCACTGTGTGGGGGCTTCCGGTGTAAGTTAAGTTTCCTGCCTTCCATTTATTCGCCCCTCTGAAGGGCTGGTAAGTTTCTCTATGTGGTCAGCACCGGCTGATCTCTGTTCCCCATCCTCTGTCCAGCCCATGCTCAGCACTCGGGCTCGCCCTGGGCACCTCGCACCCACCTGCCCTGTGGCCAGTGGCAGCCTGCGTGGCTGGAAGCCCGGTCAGAGGCCGCTGGGGCCGCCTCAGTAGGTGGTACGTCGTGGGCGCTGGGGACGGCAGCGGGCACCTTGGCGGGCCGCATGCAGCCGGAGAGACGCCACATCCCTGCTCCTCTGCAAGGAAAAGGAGGCGAGTGCTCATATCTGGGTCCAGCCTCCCATACCCCTGGTGGGTCTGGCCCTGTTCAGCTCCATAAGGAGACCAAGGGCTTGCAGCTCTGACCCAGTCTCAAGGCTCTGGGGCTCCTCTCCCATCTGGCCTTTGGTCCCTCTAGGTCTGCCGGTGAGCAAGCTGTGGTCACATGCATCTTGGGGTCGCATTTGCCAACCTCACTGAGAAAGTGGGAATGGCAAGGACCTCAAGACATGCCAAGCCCCAACCCTGGCCATTAGCTACCCCTAGAAACTACACATAAAGAGACAAAGTGGTAGGGAGGGGTTAGCATTCTGGCACAGGGTCGCTAGACCTCAATGGACATGGCTGGCTCTGCCCACCTCTGAGCCCGGAGCACACTTCAGGGACCCCGGGAGACCCAACTGCAGGAATTATACTGGTGGAATCATTGGTTCAGAGTGGCTCTTGGGGTGGGGTGGGGGAGACGGGGAGGGCTTGTTCCTAGAAGTATCTGCACTCAGACTGACTTCCCAACCCCTCACACCCTAAACCTGCAGGTCATGCTGCTCCTCCCACTTGGTGATTCTACACCTGCACCCAGAGCATGTGGAATGTGAGAACATGAAGCAGTCAGGAAATGCAAAATGGTCAGGCTTTGTGAACATAAGCAACCATAGTTAAGATGAGGGAGCTGTGTCTTTGTTTTTAGGAAGATGCTTCTTCATAGTGAAGAGGTCCACATTGGGCTGGAGCCTTCATAAGTCCTATCTCATCAGCCGCACATGCTGGTGGGACCCCACTCACACCCCGGGGTGGTAGCCTCTGGGCCCTGTAATGAGCTATTTTCCAACTGGACAAAAGGAAACTCCCTGTCCTCAAAAGTACGGCTGCTGGGGCACCTAGTGTGGCGACCAACCCTAACAGGTGATGCGAGAAGCCAAGAGGACTTGAGTGCCTGCCTGTAACTGCTGTGGCAGCAGCTGGGGACACACTGAATGTGACTGCCCTGTAGGGGTTGAACAGAGAGACAATGGAGATACTTGCCCAACCACACCTACCTATAATTGCAAAGGTCCAGGGGAACAGATAAGACATCCTCAAATCAGAGTCTGAGGCAAATGAGCTAGGTTTATGTGCTGCTGCTGTCCAACCTACTGGATCCCTGTACCCTACTCTTGGCAACCTAGTGGCTAGTGGCTACTGACCCTGCACTGCCCTGAGGAATCTGGGCTGGGCTACCTAGATGCACAGCTGTCGGTGGGACCGCCCAATCTATAGTGCAGACAACGGCCTCTCGGATGTGCAGTCCAGCCAGTCCACTTTAGCTCCAAGTCCAGACCCCCTCACCTCTAGCACAAGCACTTTTACAGGTTAAGGTGGAAAGCAGTACTTAACAGTGAATTCTTATGGGCTTCCACCCCCCCACCTCCCATCCCTTGCACTTTGCCTGGCAGTGACAGGAAGAAGTTCTAGACAGGAGGAGGTGCCAATGTAGGCAGAATAGTATTTCATCTACTTCAGTGGTTCTTAAACATCCTGATGCCACAGTCCCTCTAATACAGTTCCCATGTTGTAGTGATTCTCTAACTATACAATTATTTTTAATGCTACTTCATGACTGTAATTTTGCTGTTATGAGTCACAGTGCAGATATTTTTGGAGACACAGTTGTTCGAGGGGTCGCGGCCCACAGGTTTACAATCATTGCCCTAGCTAAGGAGGGACTGGAACAGCAGAGTTCCTTCTGGAATCCAAGCAGGTCAGAAGCCAGCTTGGGATGCTCAAGGTACAGGTAGAACAGATGAAAAGTACCTTGGAAGAGACAGTGCTAAGTTAAGGGTAGAGGTTAGAGGGGCAAGAACTCAAGACAGATTGAAGGAGCTGCCCTCTCTAGCATGTACACATCTGTCACATACAGGGAACTACCAAGTGGGTTTGGGCCATAAATCCTGCCAGCACTTGACTGCTACAAATGCCTCCAAATTCAATTGGCCAAGATCACCAGGATATGGGGTACAGATGAGGATTCCCAAGAGGATAGGCCTCCACAACAGCAACAGACCTAGTTTCAGCAGCCTGATAGTCTGTGCCTGTCCTTCAAAAGGGGTGCTCCTGTAGGAAACTCGTGTATGTCAGGAACTAAGGGGGTGGGACACACCCACTCCAGATTCCCCCCCCCCCAGCAAGGCAAAAATCTAAGGCACCAACACAGAGGGTTATGTAGGTTAGAGGCTTCTATCTCGTAAGGTGAGCATAGAAGGGCTCACAGAACTGCCACTATCCATTAAGTAAACTCCTAAGAACACCACCCACCCACGTACACCAGAGTCCAGGTGGGAGCCACCTTTTTGGCATCTACTCCAACTAGCTTTCCAATACCCAGAGACCGACAAAGGACAAGCAGGATGTCACCCTGGACAAGTTAGCTTTACTGGGTCTGTAATACCGGGGAAAGGATTACTCAGAGTTCCAGGACAGCCTGGGCTACAGAAAGACTTAAATCTCAGAGCCACCACCCACACCAAGTTGACTTTCATGTGTATTACACATACTGAAAACCCAGCTGCTAAAAGAAAGACCACACAAAGGGGAGGGAAGAAAGGTAGAAGTCATTATGAATTTATTATTTACACAATTTTGTTAAAGTACACAAATACAGTGGTAGTACAAACGCACAGCTCAGAGACTGGTCACCAAGACACAGGTTGATACACACATTCTAACTACGCTTCCTGCGAGTCATGATGGGATTAAATATTAGGCAAGAACCGTCAGAGCCACACCCTGGAGGACTCACAATGGGCCTCATCTCAGCGCAACCCAACAGGGCCAGGCTGAACCTGGATCAGTCTCAAGGCCACCCCGATACCCCTCTGGCACCACAGGTATCTACAAAGAACACTTGCCAGGCAGGCCTGCCATGGGAGAGAGGAGGCCCAACTTTGATAAAGGATTTGCAACAAAAATCTCAAACTTGCCCAACCCTCCCAACCTCCCTCTGCACTCCCAGACACACAGCCCCACCCAGTCAAGTCCCTGCACCCTAAAATGCTTGCAGAGTAACCAGCTCAGGACTCAGAAAGAAGCACCCACAGGCTCAGATGGCTGGCTGGCACAACTAACAGCCACATTCTGGGATGCTACCACATCAGCAGTGTGTTCCCCCCCACCCCAGTGCTCAGTACTGGGGAACTCTGGGAAGAAAGGAGAAGCTATGGTGGCACCATTAGAGCCCAAACCTAAACAAGGAGCCAGGTACCCAGCATAACTCTCTCCACAGGCAGACAGGGAAAATAAGAGATGGGACCACACACATGTACTACAACCCACTTCTCAGACAGGGAGCTCAGGTCCTGCTATCTTTTCCAATCCGGTGCTCATAGTGGGGAAGAACATGTTGGCATCCTAACCGCCAGCGGCAGAGTAGCCCAGCCCACAGATGTGTCCAGCTGAAGATCACGAAGCTCGTGGCACCACACCTTTCTGGAGGTGAAGGGTCTAGATTCAGGTAGGCAGTCACCTGCTTCTTGGCACTTCCAGGTTGATTCCCTTTGGCCACTGGTTCCTTCCTTTGGGCAAACCATAGTGTCTAGGACAGCCTGCTCCCTGGGCTCTGAGCAGAGAGAGTACTCAGTCTGTTCGGCAACTTCCCAAGTTCAAAGGCATAGAGGCAACCAACACTACCATAACAGCAATCCTCTCCCCAGAAACCAGAAACACAAGCTCAGCTTTCAATCTTGGAACTCTCCAGCAGCCCCTACTGACCTCTTCAGGGTTTTTGACTTCTTCTTGCCTCCTGGGGGAGGCTGTCATGCCACAGTGCTCTGCTGAGGACATGCCTGCCCGCCGCACCCTCGCTCCACGGCAGCTGCACTCTACCTGCTCTGATGATTGCAGGTTCATCAGTTTTCAGTGGGGAAGAGTAAGCAAGATGCCCAAATGAGGCTGATGGGAGCCCACAAAACACACACGCATACACAGCTGATGAGTATTTCCTTTCCAGAGTGAACAGCACAACACGAGAAAACAAAACAAAACAACACACATCATCCTTGACACTCACATGTGCCCCTCTCTTGCCTGCCTCCATTTTACACAGAAGCTCCAAGCCAGCATGTCTTAGTTAAGGTCAACATCTTTTTTAAGACCGCAAAAACAGACAAGAAAGAAACAATAAAAAGACAGATTTCTTTACACAGATTTAAGCCAGTAATTTTTAGCAAAATGATACAAAACTGTCTTAACCAAGTAGAAGACTGGTAGCTGCGGTGGGATCGTCAGGGAGTGCAGGTCCGCCACCACTGGTGGGAGCTGAGAGGCTCTTCACAGGGAGTCGGGTTCTCTCTGCAATGGTCTCCCAGCCTCTGCTCTTCGTTCCAGCCCCATGATAACTGAGCTCACATGGGGCCATGGTGCAGCCCCTGGCGATGGCAGCTCTTGGAGCCTGTCCATTTAGTTTGTGTTTTGATTCCCCATGAGCATCGCTG